AAGATTCTAACAAGCATTTTCATATAAAATAGCACTTAACCTTTAAATTTAGTAACATTTAATAGCATTCCTAGACAAAGAGATGCAGCTGATGAAAGCAGATAAAATACAACCACAGCTCAGGGGATGACTTACGCAGCTTAAGCAATTGACAACTTGCAGCTGTTTCTATGGGAAGTGTTTGGTTATAGTGGGTGTATCAGTTGCAAGAGCCAAAAGACAGCAGAAGAGAAAGCTTTAGCTTATAGGATTTTGTAGTAATCACTTTCACTCTTTAGTGAAATAAATCTCTATCTAAATTTGTGGCAGGTAAGTGTACATCAGTGAGGAGATGTTACCTGTCTAGTAAGCTGCATTTGTTAATTGGAACATCCCTAATGATACAAATGGAAACACTGAACATATTTCTTGCCTGTAGCATATTATGTTTTATAGGCCTCCAGTGAAATCTTTGGGGTTATGTAATTTGAGATTTAAAAGCAGTGTGCTAGAAAGACTGATAGTGACATGCATATGGAAGAGGGACTTAAAGGGCTGGCTACTGAGTTTCTTAAACTATGCAATCTTTAGCACATTTTTCCATCAGCAAAATACAAGTTATGTTAATCAGATCCCTTAAATTACTCTGTTCTGTAAGACTTAAGAGCTACCTCTTCCTTTCAATTCTTGAAAATATTTTGATTAAATATAAATGAGCTAAATATAATTTGTTTATATAAAACTATAATTATTTCTGTAATAAAGACTAAAAAATGAGAGGGATACAGATAATGGAACTTTAACTGTGAAACACTTCAGTCTTAGGTATCTAATAAAGACTAAAAAATGAGAGGGATATAGATAATGGAACTTTAACTGTGAAACATTTCAATCTTGGGTATGAAAAATTACATTGCTGCTAACTTTAAGTGGAAATATGATAGTTCATAGGATCATAAAGTTTAGAAAAGACTTTCAAGATTGAGTCTGGCCATGTTGATGAACACCACCATGCTAACTAAGTGCCACATACTCATGTTCCTTGAACTCTTCCAGGGATGGTGATTCCACCACCTTCCTGGGTAACCCGTTCCAATGCTTGCAAACCCTTTCAGTTCAACCAAAAAATAAAAAAGAACATAACTTAACCTTGCTCTAATCTAGGATGACAAAGTCTCCAAATTCTGTTTGAAATGACACTTGGTGAACTTTTTCAGTTCTTGTGGAATGTGTCAAACTGACAGTCTTGTGTTGCTGCATTATATGTTTCCATGTCAAAATATGATGTGTCATGGAGTAGAAAGGCCCTTGAGGTTTTCTAGTGGCTCTGCAGCATAAAAAAGTTTCTTTTAATAAAAGCATAAGATCACATATTAAGAAATTCAGATCTTAACCGGAGTCTCGGAATCCTGGGGGAGGGTCTTAAAAGTTTCTGTTTGAGTCATTTGAATTTCTCTTGTTTCTTTTGGTAATATAAGTAATTGTTAAATTTTTTTTTTCTTGGAGATACTAGTTAAAACTGCTTAAGTAATTATTTTTAAACTAAGTGGCTGGTAAAGGCTGTGGATCAGAAGTTCAGATATTTCTAAACATGTATTAGTATAACTACTACATTATAAGTTTTAAATGAATAGTGATTATTACTTCTTTCCTGAGGAAAAGTGGTAGTAAGCTTCATAGACTGCTCTAAGCCAAATTTCTAAGTAGTTTGTTATTTTTTTGAACTTTAAGAGAACTTCAAGGCCTTGTGGAAGAAAGCTAATTGATGTGAAAGGTTGAGAAAGTGTAGCAAAGATCACTATTACCTTTTGCGAGTTCTCTAGGGAAAATTTAGATAAACCAGAATAATAGATAAGCCAGTCTGACCTAAAATTCATTTGGGGCTGCAGTGTTTCTCTAGTTCTGACTTGTAATTGCCTTTTTAGAATGTCCAATCTGATTCCTAATAAGATATATGTGTTAAAGAGTGTGTTCAGGGAGTAGTTTTCTGTAACTGTGTTGTACTCTTTAAAATGAGTTTGAGAATCAGTCTTAGGTTTCTATTTCCATAATTTGTCAATATCTGGAGGACTACTTCATGCATCTACTTGTGATAAGCAGTGTCTAAATGGAGTAATTCTCGTCTTCTGTGCTGTTACTTCATCATTAACTTTTTACTAATTGTTCCTGAGACACCTTACGTTAGGCAACTCAGGCTTTCATGTGCCTATAGGAGACTGAAAAAGTAAAAATGCCCATTTCTGATTTTCTTTATTCAGTTAAAAGATGTTTTTTGTTGTAATTTGTGCCTATAGGAGACTGAAAAAGTAAAAGTGCCCATTTCTGATTTTCTTTATTCAATTAAAAGATGTTTTTTGTTGTAATTCTGAAGAAGTAACTTTTAAAGCCTTGCACCCCAGTTTGTTGTTCAAGTGTTGCCTATAATTCAAGACTTTCAGCAACTTGAGTATTCTAAATGGCTTATAAAATTGGACAAGCCACATTTAAAGTAACATTAAAAATAGTTCTAAGGCAGGACCTACAGAAACTTAGAACTTAAAGGTGATGTAGTGAAGTTAAAGGACAGTACAATGAGCATATTTTGAGAAATACTGCCACTCAACTTCTGGTTTAAAGCTAGTTCTTGATAGCTTGACAAGTAGGGTGGAAAGCAGAAGGGTATAAAGTAGTGCTAGTACTCTGCTTTGTTCTAGACCATGAAGATACACCAAGAAATACAGGAGCAAAGGTACAAAGCAAATAAGATAAGTATTCTGTAGTGTAAACTTTTACTTAGGGCTCCCAGAGTGGACTACTGCAGGGATGTCTGTACTCAAAACTTGGAAGTAAAATCAGATTGAGCTGTTTGTGATAAATTTTGTGCAAGAAGATGGAGATGTAAAGGAGATACATACAAAAGGAAGGTGGTGACTTGTATTTTAGCTCCCTTGTTCCATATTTGGGTCTCTTTTGTCATCTCTCAAATCCCCATGGCAATAGAACTAAAATAATGTCTCTGTTTTTTAGCCAGTCAAGCAGCATCCACATGCAGTGGGCAAACCAAGCCAATGTATGTACTGAAAAGTAATGGAAAACACAATTTTGTAGGACCTAAAAATACTGTCAGAGAGAGATACTGGAATAGGAACAAGCTATGGTTTTTCTCTTTTCATCACAGGAGATGAAAATACCCTGAAATGCTTAATGTGTGCCCAGGATTGCGCTCACTGTTTGGCCTACTTCTCCCATTGTCATGTGTGCTGTCCATAGAATCACAGAATGCACATAGTGTGTTCATAGAATCATGGAATATCCTGAGTTGGAAGCAACCCACAAGGATCATTAAAATCTAGCTCATGTCCCTGCAAGGAATGGAGGAAATAATGGAAGTGTTGCCAGGCCATGTTACAGAACCAAAAAAAATCCCAGAACATCAATTGATGTGACCTTTGCAGAAAAAGGATAAAGTGACTTGACGAGCTTACTTATGGGACTAGGTTTAGAAAACCCTGTGTTGAAGTTTTTTATTTTGTTAAAATTGCTGATTGAAATGCTTTTACCAGGCACTACACAGGAAATTGTGACTTTTCTATTGCTTATTGCTGTTACTAGGCAAGTTGATTGATAACCACAGAAATGAAGTTTCTTAATGCTGTTTTTTGCACAAACTAACCACACAGTGATTTTTTTCCCCTTTAGAAAAAGGGACAAGGCATGCTTGAGGCATGTATATGCTAAGAAAAAGATGTATGGGGAACTGAATTGATGAAAACATCTAATTTCCAGTGCTAGGGATGGCTCCTTTTGAGTAACTAGGCTTAAAGTATTTAAGTGAGAAACAGTTCCTGTTAAAACTAAATATTTGAGCTGTGATATTTATATTAGGTCACTTCCTATTTCTAAGAACTATTATTTGTATTAGCAAAAAAAAAAAAGATTTTGCTAACAAAGTCTAATCCTGTTCAGTGACCTCTTAATATTCTTGCTGTGTGTGCTATAACAGCAAACTAGACCAATTCTTTTATCATCCTCATAGCTAAAACACAAAGCATAATAACAGAACATTGAGAAGCAGAAATGGATTGTCACATGTAAACCTCAACCCAAAATTAAGGAGTGTGCAGGGGAGGAGATTTCAACTATCATTGTAACTATAATTTTATTAATATAAAGGATGAAGTGCTTACCTGATGCTTGCTAAATAGAGTAAGCCATGGGGGAGAATTCTTAGGCCTTTGGTTTTTTTAGACAGCAGAACTGCTCAGTATTTGATATAATGTTCTGGCAAGACAATGATATGATTTCTAATGGTAGTTTCATCTCTTGGACCGTCAGATACACATGTGCAGGGACAGCCTGTCTGAGACTAGCAAACGATGTCATTTAAGTCTGTGAATGTAAGTATTTGAGAACTGAGTTCTGCTCCACTACATTGAACTCTTAGCTTCTCAGTCTTTGAAGTGGGTTGGGTGAAGCAGGCAGGATGAAAGAAATAAACTCTCTTCTGAAATAGCTAGGAAACTCTGTCTGCTAATGTCCTCTTCCCTCCACTCATCTGCTGCTAGCTTTGTGTCCAAGTAGCACAGTTCTGTGAAGAATGCACTCATGGGATAGAAAGCTCAGTGAGAGCAGAAAATAAGTATCGAAGTAGAATATTAGATCAAACTTGTTTATGAACACTACTTTTAAGAAAAGCTTCAAGCTGATGTAACATTTTTCACTATCTTCTACATGAAACTGGTGCACTTGGGAAAACGACTGGGAACATTTTCCTCTGCTGCAGTTTTTTGTATGTGAGCAGAAGCTGATGCATGGTCTTCATGTTACTTGTCATTGGTGATAAGCAAACTGATACTATTCACCTATTTTAGCAACATGGTTGTTTTAAATTTTATCAGAAAAGTATGTGTAAACCTTATACTTTAGTCATAGACATCTGAACATAAGTATGTTCAAACGCCTCTGGAGCAACTTTAACACTTGCCTTACAAAATGTTTAAAATAATGAGGTCTAAACCCAGCTTTTTTTTCTTATCTCATAGGAGGAAGAGTTGAGAAAAAGTGGAGAGGCAAAGTATTTCCACCTAAATGATGACCTGCACGTTTTAATTGAAGTATTTGCTCCACCTGCAGAAGCATATGCCAGAATGGGACATGCATTGGAAGAAATCAAGAAGTTCCTCATTCCTGTTAGTATTTTCTAAATGAGAATTCTGGTGGTCTTGAGTGAAAAGTTTTGTCTCTTGAAACTGAGCAAGCTAGTCTAAGGGAAGGTATCCTGGCCCATGGCATGGGGGTTGGAACTAGATGATGTTTAAGAGCCCTTCCAACCCAAACCATTCTATTGCACCACAATATTGGTCAGGTCATGTTGCTTAATTTCTTTATCTGTGGAAGAAGTGGTGAGTTTACCAATAATTATCATTTTGATATAGGCTGTTACTGGGTGAATGTGTCACTGTCCTCAAACACTCTCATCTCATATGACTTACAGAAAAAGGGCAACGTTTTCTTGCTTAAATGGTCATGTTCAGAGTATGTAAGTTTACAAATAATTGTAAAAAGTCTGTAAAATGTGGAAAAATGACTCTGCTTTAAGGTAGATCTTTTCTGTGTTATTGGCACATGTGAAATATTAGCGAAAGGTCTGTTTCACTAAGTATAAATAAATTTCAAGTTGTATTTCTCACCCATAGTCCTGGTTTAGTCTTCAGTGCTGCTGAAATTGTGTTGATTATCATGTGTTTTATCAGAAGGCTGGTGATGCATGAGTTACAATTGTCTTCTGGTGTGTACTACAGCTTGGGATGTATAAAATGGGAGGTGACTTGCAGTATAAGTTCATAGTCTAGGTTTGGGGATGTGTCTAGGCAGTGGGGTTGCAGGGTTTCTAGTGTCTTTCTACAGAAGATAGCTTAAATTCCTTCTCATCTAAGGACCAACCTTTGCAATATTAAACTGCTTGGAACAACCCAAGCTCTTCTTGGAACAATCCAAACTCTCCTGAGAAGATGGTGCACTTGAGGTGATGTTACTGTGTGTGAAGTTCCTAATTGTATTAGCTCTTCAGTGAATATTCTTTAATCTTTTATTGGTGATCAGAGGAATGTGTATAGAAAGCCAAGCATTCTCAAGGTGCACTGGCTTCTGTTTATTTTCACTGCTGAAAGTGCCATCCAAGTGTTAGTCCTGATTTGTATCAGATCTTGGAAGTGTGGAAGACCTGGCTAAGGAAACTTAAGGCATGTGTGAGTGACAGCTGTGTGTAAATGAGTGGAGTCAGTGTAGCTGTATTTTGAGGACTAGTTGGAGTTGCCTGTTCTATAGGCATGGCAGTCTGTTGGGGATGGAAGTGCTAGCTGAACTCTGGGGTGAAGCAGTTGGTGCTGATGACTGGCAGTGCTTCTGTATGCATTGTGTGTATTGTAGTTTGTATTAAACCTAGTCTAGATCCATGAAACCACCCAGAGAGCAATTGGACCCTGGAACAGGCTCCCTAGGGAAGCAGTCCCAAGCCTGCCAGAGTTGAAGTGTTTGGACAATGCTCTCAGGCACATAATGTTTTTCTCAGGACTGCTTCATTCAGGGCTGGGAGTTGGACTTCGGTCACTGTGGGTCCCATCCAACTCAGGATAGTCTGTGAAACTAAGTGCCCAAGTGACTGGAGTTGTGTGCTCCTTAAGTGGTTCTTCTGGCCTTTATGTTGTCTGAATGAAAGTTAGTTCATATGCCCCAATACTACTCCATTGTATGAACCAAAACATAAGTGACAGTCATGAGGTTCATTTAGAAATACATCCTGACATGAAATAGCACTTAATGTAGATGCACCTTCAGACAGTTAAAAACCAAGGAGATGTCCTGGGCATTGTTCTCATGTTATAAAGAAGCAAGCACTGCATTATAACTTTGTCTGTGGGTTCCAAATGGCTTTTTTTCTTGATGTACATGAAAAGATGTAAATAAGCATACTGCGTTCAAACATCCCAACTGATTAGGGGGATGCTCAACAGAATATTTGTAGGAATGCTGGGCTGTCATAATGTACAAGGTTACTGTATTTACATGATTGATGATTTGATGATGTGAAGAGATAAGGGACAATTAGGTTCTTGGCTATTCTAGTGAGCTAACAGCTGCTTTCTCTTTAGGTGGAAATATGTTCAATTTGATAAGTGTTATTTCCACACACTAGAAGTAAGGATAGGTCCGATCCCCTTGTCCCCCTCATCAGAGAGATTATTTTTCTTCATTGAGCTTGATTTCCCTAATGTCATAAATGAAATAAGCTTATCAAACCCTGTTTGTTATTGTGTTAAGCCAGTAGAATTACAGACTGATTATGAGCAAGTCCATTGACTGCTTGTACACTTCATCTCGATTTTTGATCATTGTATCTTTATTTTACTCATCTGAACTGATGCTACATAATCTATTCTAAACTATGGGATCAAGCCAACACTGTCTTAATTTCCCTTGGTTTTTCAAATGTAATCTTATCAGAATGGCTCTAAATGCCTTAATCTCTTCTGCCTGCTTCCCCTTGCACTGCCACTGAAGGAAGCAATAAGGAGCAGCTTTTTCCTCTAGAACTATGGATTTAACTGCTGCTGAATGTAACTTGAATTTTATTTTCTTTAAGGTCTGTTGTGGCTTTCTTAGGAAATTATCCATTTTATTTCAGAAAAGTCCTGCTATCAGTATATATGATTATGATTGTAATTTGTCTTCTCCTTACAATGTAAGGTAACTGCGCCTTCCTACAATTTTAGATGCCAAACCTAATTTATTAATATGGTTATTGTTCTGTTTGCAGATCAGCACTGAACATAAAATCGCATTTGGTGCCAGAATGAAGGATGCAAACTATCCTTATGGTAGCTGACTATAGCTAGAATGCCTTAGATTCTCTTATTAGGTCTTCAAGATCCATGGACAAGCATCTTTGCATTGAAGTTCAACCATAAGCAGCTGCAGTGGTGTAATTTCCTTTAAACTATTGTCACAACTCCTTTATTGCTTTAACTCAAACCAAAACATAAAAACTAGACTTGAGGAGGGTTTTTTGACTGTGCTTATGTTGCTTTGACTCTCACCTGTCTTCTGCAGGTAGAATTGTGGCTTCTGACTTCAAGTATATTCTTTTGTCTTCCTTTAAATGAGCCAATCCCTTTGTTCTGTCCAGACCCTCTGGTCATCACTGTGTTCAACTGTTAGATTGGTGGGTGTTATGCTTGATATTAATTATCTCAGAATTACTTCTGTCAGGCCAAAAAACTAGGTGCTTTCAACCTCACCTCCCCCTGGTTCCTGTTCATACCATGATTTCAAGGCCAGGTTGTACAGGACCTTGAGCAGCCTGGTCTAGTGGAAGGTGTCCCTGCCTATAGCATGAGGGTTGGAACAAAATGATCGTTAAGGTCCCTTCCATCCCAAACCATTCTGTGATTCTATGATTACTGCAGTTTTGGCCATTAGAACTTACCTTTGTCCGTTTAGCTTAATTTTTGTGTAGTAGCAATCATTTCTTTTGACAGCTACAGCATTAATGATGCTTTGCTGTTGGTTACCAGGGTTACTTGTTTTCCCTGTCTTTAAAGTATAGAAATGTCTTTGAGAGAACGATCTGTAGGAATTCTGTGACAGTGTGAGCAGAATTCACAACTTTTTCTTGTAGGCTTTTACCTTCTGCCTATTTGGTTTGTAAGATGTGGTGATGAAATAGCATTTAGTGGCATTTGGAAGAGCTTGGTGGCCTTTGGAAACCCTCACAGGCTTTTTCTTTTAGCAAGCTGTCAAATAACTAAGGTGTAAAAAAATAGTGGCTGGAAACCTGATAACTATTGATTGCTCACTGCCACGATAAAGATCTGCTTGAGTGTGTTGCAAAGCTGCAAAGGGTTTTGTAGGGATCTGTCCTAACATTCTATTAAAAAAAGGCTTTGCTAATAGTTTGACTGACAAATTGAAATAAGGTCTTAAGTTAGAGTGAGCCCAAGGAAAACTGCTTCCAGTGTGTTGATCTGGCTAGATGAAATTTAAAAGAATCTTGCGTGGTTGGATCATGTAAGTAATTCTGTGTGGGCTGAAAATCTTGCATGTGTCTGGATGATGTAGCCATTCCTACACCCTCCATGTTCAGAGGAGATTGCAGTTAGTCAGAATGGGCAATACAGTCATAAAATGAAAGTGCATCTGTTCACTTGAATTTCAGCAGCAGTGTGTGACTGATACTGAAGTGTTGCCACTGCTGACTATGTACAGGAGAGGAGTGAAGTCGAAAGGGTTTCCATATCCATCTAGGTGAGGAAAAGATTGTCTACTTAATTTGACTTGAAGTGTGCTGTTTTCCAGCAGTGAGTATTCATAAATTGACCATCTGTTAGTTTTAATTGAAGAATCCATTTCTGAGTCTAATGAATTAACACTGGTGTTTATCGTGGCATCCTTCTACTGCCCCTTCACTTCGGTGTCCTCTCGAAAGGGTTTCCATATCCATCTAGGTGAGGAAAAGATTGTCTACTTAATTTGACTTGAAGTGTGCTGTTTTCCAGCAGTGAGTATTCATAAATTGACCATCTGTTAGTTTTAATTGAAGAATCCATTTCTGAGTCTAATGAATTAACACTGGTGTTTATCGTGGCATCCTTCTACTGCCCCTTCACTTCGGTGTCCTCCTGTCTGGCGTGTTTATCGTGGCATCCTTCTACTGCCTTCTACTGTGAAGGCACTTCGGTGTCCTGCTGCTGCCTCTGGCATATGTGATAAGGACCATATTTTCTGCTCTGTGCTTTGCACAGTGGAGCCCTTGTCTGTGACCTAAGGCTGCTGCTATGTCTAATAATGTGCTGCAGGAAAATGAGAAGGCATCAGGGAGAAAAGGAAAAGGACCCAACATGCACAGTGTCAACCTGAGCACATATTTGCAGAGGAGTTAAATGAAATGAATATAAAACAGTCAAAGGTATTTTTCTAGGGGCCCAATTCTGAAGGTGTCTTGTATAGACATTATAAAGGGCATCTCTGATATTTGCTGTCAGAACTTTGAGACAAGTATGTTGGTGGTATAGTTTCCTGGCATTTTGTGTCAAGATCTAAGTTTTGTTCCATACATTACATAGACTTTTGCATTTGTAGCAAGTTCTGGTCCAACAACGAATTATAAAGTGGGTTTCTGTGCAGTAGTTGACCAGACTAATATTCAGTTTGCTGTTTCTAGTCTGCTCACTGTGATGGATTGGTTGTGTATTGGGTCCTGGCTGTTTAATAATGGAATCTGTTTCTCAAAAGCTTCAATTATGCAGTTTGAACAGTTAATCTTCCAGATCTCCTCCTTCATCTTGCTGGCTGGTTGGTTTTTGCTGCAAAGTAGAGGATGGTCTTAGGTGGGCAGTGGGGAGTTAAATATCAGAAGCTGTTCAAAACAGTTGAGACAAAATGCTGTCATGTTGCCACTTCTTGACACTAGTAAACATCTTCAGAAGTGTCATGCAAGGGATAACCTTATTTCTGTTTGTAGAAGTCTAGGAGAAGCAGAATGTTTCAAGAAAAATTGAGAGATTTGAATTCATGGAAGTTTTAATCTCCTTTCAATGCAGGGTTACGTTTCAGGGCTGTCTGCAAGGCTGCCTGACAATCTTCTGGTACCTGTTGAGTGAATAAATGTAATAAATCAGATTTGCAGTGGGATGCAGATCCTTTGTTTTGTAACTGAATTGTGAAGTCAGTGGTATTAGAACAAACCTTCCTTCTTGAAATGGGAGGATTTGCAGAACATAAGAGCTGTTGCATCAGAAGTATCACTTCATTCCTGTGGGAGCACCTGTTAATATTTTGATACTTAGTTTGTATGTATGAATGTTGAGGAAAATATTTCTTTGATTCACTTTTATGGATGAATTTTTTCCCTTTTTGGCTCACTCTTAAGTGAAGGAGAAATGATAGAAAAATATGTAAAGCTCAAGAGTTTAGTGCTGTTTGTTTTATTCCTGTCTGATGTGTTTGTTTTGGAGGTTGGTTCAAGGTCCCTGAAAACTGTGTTTGAGAAGTACCATATTAATTCCATGTATAAAAACTTGAGTTTTCTTTTTGCTAGACCTAGAGAGGGAGGATTTGTGCAGACAGAAATAAGCTATATGTCTGCAGCTTGTTTACCATTGCATATTCTAGAATGGAATTTTTTGGAGCTCTTTTTATTAGGTAACAACGCATGTGTGTATTGAATGCGTTTTCTTGTTTATTCTCTAACTCCTGATTTTAAAAGTGTGGATGTCTAATCTGTTCTTTGTTTCCATGGGCTGCTCTCAACAGTGTATTTATTCTTTATTCCTTTGCAACACCAGGCAGGGGGATTTTCCTCCTTTTAACATGCAGCCATTTTACAGCTGGCACTATAAGGTGGATTTCAGTTCAGAAAATGTCACCTTGATCTTAGTCCTGAGAAGAGGTGGCTCAGGGGTGACCTCATCACCCTGTACAGCTACCTGAAAGGGGTTGTGGAGAGGTGGGGAATGGTCTTTTCTGCCACTCCTGCAGTGAGAGGACTAGAGGAAATGGCCATAAGACAGCAGAGATTCAGATTAGATATTAGAATTTATTTTTTTCACTGTTAGGGTGGTCAGACATTGGAGTAGGTTGCACAGGGAGGTGGTGGAGTCACCATCCCTGGAAGTGTTTGAGGTGTCTGAATCTGGCACTGGAGAACATGATTTAGAGGTTACAGCAGAATGACAGGTTAATGCTTGGACTTGATGGTCTTAAAGGTCTTTTCCAACCTTGATCATTCGATGAGTCCATGATTCTATGATTTTTTTTTTGTTGTCTCCTCCAATCTCTGCAGCATTTTAGCATTGACATTTTGATTGGTAAAGCTGTATAGAAATAATATGCAAAGGGAAAGAAAAACATGCCTGAGCAGAAATGGCATTTAATACATATAATTGTTTTTACTGAATAATATTCCTATCTTATGCATATTCAACTTGTTCAGTGGGATGTTCAGCTTTTTAAGGGGAAACTTTCAGGAGCAGTGTTTGCTGATATGAACTTGGAGTAGTGGGTGAACAGTTTGGATTTTTCTCACTCCTGCCCCCTTGTTTTAGGACTACAACGATGAAATCAGACAGGCACAGCTTCAAGAATTAACATATTTAAATGGTGGTTCAGAAACTGCAGAAGTGCCAGTTGTGCGTGGAAAAGCATCTATTCGAGCAAGAGGAGTACCAGTTCCTACTTTGTCTAGGTAAGTGCCATTTCATTTGCATGTACATATTTTCAGCTTCTCCCTTTGAACACAGTTGTCCCGCAGAGCACAGCTACAAAATACATGAAGGAGTCTCAAAAGAAGGGCAAAAGATCAGGGAAACATCCTTGATTTCTTGATGATGGTCTAATTAGTTTGGACTGAATTTACAATGCTGCTGAGTTTTGTCTTGTGGAACTTGAATGCTCTCTTTATTAAGAAGCAATGTATATCATGCAAGATACTTAGTCTCACTGTGATCTAACCTTGAGTTGCTCTTAGGTGCACGTAGAGCCTGTGTTTGGGCCCTGTGGCTTTGAAAAACTGGTAAATTGCTTAGCTTCAGTACTTATGAGCATATGAATTTCAGGCAATATCTCTATTACATAATGTACAGACTCCTTTCTTACTGTATTACTAAGTTTGTGTAGTCATGATGAGATGTTATCTAAGTGCTTTTGAGGTAGAATTCAGATTTTCTTGTCTGAGTGGCACTTAATTTGTAAAAAGTGGCTCTTGTTTGATTCAGGAATAGGCAAAGGTTACTGCTTTTCCTAATTTTTCTTTGTCACAGATGATGTTTAATTTTTACTCTAGCATCCCCTGTCTACCTTGCAGTACTGAGATGACAGTTTCAACTCCAAGTCCTGAAGTGTGAAAATAAAAACTAAAAGTGCATAACTGTTTGTGTTACAGTACAGAGATTGTGGTTGCAGCAGCTAAGTGTGACTGTTTTCTATGGTAAACTATTTTCTTCAGTTGTGGCTATGGTTCTTGGTAATGCAAGCTTGAAACTTGCATTTCAGATCCTAAAATAATTTCAAAATAACTCTGCAGTGTTTTACCTCAGATGATTAAGCATGTTCAAAGAAGCAGCACTAAGGAAATATTCCATTTATACATATCTGCTTAGTTACATGTATCCTGATAATAATTGCAAATGCAATGCAAAATTAATGTTAATTTAAAGAATTTACACTTACTGTGGGTTGTCCTGTGAGAGAAAAATTCTCTCAACACGTTTTTGTTCTTGTATTAAATAGTATTGTGTAATATACCTCTTCTCCTCCTTTTCTTGATTTTAATGTTCAGAGTTGTGGTAATTGTATACCAAGGTTCACCATTTTAGCACTGTAATCAGCTACACAAGTACTTTCTAATTAGAAAAAATCATCTGATATTGGAGATGGTTTTTTTAGATTTCGGTTCTTAAATAAGTGTTTAACTTTGCCATAGATGCCTGTAATGACTCTGCTACATATTCTCAGCACAGATACATTTGCAGTACTATTTCAAGTTTATTTAATTTTTCATGTCCTTCAGCTAATTTGATTTGATCTTATTTTTAAAGCTTGATAACTAATTTCCACTTTCTAGTACCTAGTAGATGCATGTGTAAATAACTTTTTGTAGTACTGGATTTCTAACATCACTAGTTCTATCCTATGCATTTTGGTAAATTCTTCAAATCTGCATTTTATGCAGGAGATAGCTACTGCTACATAGCTCACAGAATCCCTTGTAGTTGGCCTACAACTATTGAAGTGGCTTCAGTATAAATTTAAATGTTGAGTGTTTGATTTGGAGATGACAGTGAAAGGTGGTGCTCTTGTCATGGCCATTTTTCATATATGTCCTAAAGAAACATGAAAGGATGTTGGTTTGTTTGACGTGTCCTAACTTCAAGGCTTGTCTTAAACTCCAAGACTTTTCCCCTCAAATTGAAGCACTCTTAGCATATTCCTTAAGTGAAATTCAATGCTATTGAGATACTGCAGCCATTGAGCTGGGAATCACAGCCTCAGTTATAATACTTTGGTTCTTTTTAAGCAGAAATGGATTTCAGAGAGTAATATTTTTGTTGAAGCAATGCTTTAAGGGCATTGTCTCAGTGATGGATAAAACACTTTCAATAATAATCATCCCCGAGACATCCAGAAGGGGTTGAAGCAAAGCCTCAGAAGACTTTTAAAATGAAGTCTAAACCCTTGATCCTAACCTTTCTTTGTAACCTACAGAATGGTTTTATGATAACAACCTCAATACTTGAAACATCCTATTGAGGATGCAATATCTGAGTGTGTTTAAGTTCCAAAATGTTACTCCTTTATTACTCCTGAATAGTTTGACTTCAAAAAAAGTACCAATATATGCCTTTTTGCTCCTTATCACGTGTTGAAACTGGAGATAATGCATCTTGTCAAGTGTGTTTTTAGCTCCATAACAGTTCTGTTTTCTAGAAAACAATGTATTTGTGCTTGCATGCAAAAATTCTTGGCTTGTGCACAGGTATTCCTGTATGTGGTAAGTAATTTTCTAATAGTTGTGACTTGGTAACTCTTGATTGCTTTCCTGGCTTGTTCCAGATTTGCTTGACTGAATTTTTATGACTCTAAAGGCAAATAAGATTTGGGGGTGAGTGGATGGGATTTGCTCTAGAAGGGTTGCCTCTGTGTGTTGTGAGCTTTACCTGAGGAATGTTTTTTTCTCTTCATTAATCTTGGAGCATATAGATGCTTCATTTCCCTTACCTTGTCCCCATTTTTTTCCCCCTAATATTGTAAAAGATGACCTTCAGATGTAATGACAATACTCTAATTTTCTGTGGCATTTATGCTGGGCATTTAACCTATTTTGGCATACCTGTCCCTTCTGCACAACAAGAAAGGATAGTGGTGAAAGTCTGGTTTTCATGCCTTTGTTATTATATGCTGACATTTGCTCTTAAATCTTTAGGAGGCAGCTGTATAAAATGATCATATCAGTGGCTTTTTAATTTATCATGCTAGCAAGCTTAGAGAATCTATGGTGTTTAATGTGATGCTGTTGTGGTGAGAAGCTGGAAGACTTAACTCTCTCAGAATCAGTGTTTCTTTAGTGCCTTGGTGTATTCCCACCCTGAATCAGTGCAATATAAATGATGACACAACCAAAATGTCAATTGAGATTTCTGATCATGTGTTGACATTGTAGTGAAAGGTGTCTCAACATTTTGTTGAGAACTTGTAGGTAGTGAAGAGCTAAAGATTCTGTAGCACAAAAGTAATATTAGTTGAAGCTGCTATTATGTTCACTGTGCTTGTTTGTGATAAAATCTCCTATTTTTCACAAAATTGAAAAATGGACATATGTATTACTGTTTTCAAATAGAAATAGATGATCACTTTGTTGCTAAAGTGTCTGGAAGTGACAATAATAGCTAACTGGCTAGAAGGTGGGATTTGCTGAGTGTTTACTAACTACTAGAGTTTGTTTAGGAGAAAATACAGTTAATAGGTACTTAAAGAACAGGGTTTCCCTCATCCAAAGAACTGAGATTATTGGTAGCATACTGGAGGAGTAGAGGAGTAGATTTTTTTTCTTAGAAATATATCAAAAAAGAAACCAAACAGTAGTGTCCCCTGTGATGCTTCAGTACTCATGTATTTGCATCTGAGGGATTACTGCAAGGACCTTATTTAACATATCCTGAAAATAAGACACTTGAACTTTGATTCAAAGTATTTATACAATCAAAGTATACAAAAAGCTTGAGGATGGAGATGTGGCAGGTTCAGTGCCCATTTGTGTATGCGATTAGCCTGGTTATATTTGAAGTGTCCACACTGTAAAACAAGATCTTATGGGTACTGGGCTCTAGAGTACATTCAAAAGACTTATGAAAGGGAGAGAGGTGACAGCATGGAAGCAAGGAGGGAAAACATGACAAAGGTCTTTTTGCCATTATTTCAGAATATGAGGAGGTAGTCAAGGCTGTTATGGACTGACAAAAGAGTTTTTATAAAGAAAATTAAGCTAGTTGTAGGCTTTTAGCAAAGACAAGGAGAGCTGGTGATGGCTGCTGAATTTTGAGCTGCAGTGCAAGATTTGGATGGTCTAGGAGCCATGATGAGTTTGATTTGATGGTAAGATCTGAGTGTGACAAGACAGAGCTGAGCTGTCTTGATTTGAGGGAAATGAGTAGAATCTACATGTTAGCAGAGGCATCAAGGTTTTTGAATTTATAGGTGAGATACTTGTAGAAGAAAAGGTGGAGAAAAGAGCCTCTGTGCAGTTTCTTCAGACTTGTGAAACAGATGGATACCCCTCAAAAGCAATTGATTAGGAGAGGGAAAGCCCAGGAAAGTGAAAGAACAGGATTTCCAAAGGAATAATTTTTCATTGAATCAGAAATGGTAGATGCAACATGGAATATGTGGAGAAACTGTGGGAAATCTACTTCAAAAGCTGCTAAATAGCCACAGGGATTGACTTCTAGCATGCTGTGTATATTTGCAAATCACTAAATATCCAGGATAGAAAGGGAAGTATATTAGTACATTCACTAAACTTACTGGTAGTAGTGGGTTACATTTAAGTATTTGTGAATGAAGCTTTTCCTTAAAAAATAAAATCACCCCAACAAACAGACAAAAACCCCCAAACGAAAAGAAAAGCAAAAAAGACACCTCACCCATCAAAAAAAAAAATAATCCAGCATTAAGCACCTGGAGAAACGTGTAACTTATAAAGGAGTGAAATGGCAGACAAGGTTAGATAAGGTGGGTCAGAATTGAGAGGTGTGGAAGGATTAACTGAAGTATAGAGAGAAGATGAGAATTTTGAGATGTGTGGGGATGAAGCTGCCTTAGGGGCATCAGTTTTGGCTCTAATGAATAGACATCTGCTGCATCAGCATGAAGTGAGATGACTTGCAGGAGTCATCAGTGAGGTGGTGAGGGATATCAAAGTCAAGAAGTGCTTCTATGAATACTTAAGTTGGAATAGGAAGACTAGAGAAAATGAGGGGTTACTGCTAATTGGAGCAGGGGCCCTGGTGGTACAGGGTGTAGACAAGAGTAAGGTACCTAATGACATCTTGGACTCAGTCTTTACTATTAGAGGGGCTTTCTGAAATCCTGGGACTGAAAGACAAGGTGATAAGCATAACCTTGATGGGAGAGGATCATATTAGAGAGCAGCTAAGCAAGCTGGAAGAAGACAGTCATGGGCTCTGGTGGGATGCAGCCCTGAGTACTGAGGGAGCTGGCAGGTGTTAAGTCTTTGGACAGTCATGGAGATTAGGAGATTAGGTCATCAGAAAGAGTAAACATGGATTCACAAAGGGGAAGTCATGCTTGATAGCATTCGATAATGAACTGTCTGGCCATGAAGATGAAGGGTATGGAGCATCTCTTCTGTGGGAAGTCTGAGAGCTGAGACTGTTCAGCCTAGAAAAGAGAAGGCTCTTTTTGGTGGTGCCCAGTGACAGGACAGTGGTACATGAGAGGTAGTGGAGTCTCCATCCTTGAAGACATTCACCAACCACCTGGGTGTGGTTCTGAGCAGCTGATCCTGGCTGGCTCTACTTGAGCAGGAGGTTGGATCAGATGCCCTCCAGCAGTGCTGTCAAACCTTAACCATTCTGTCATTCAGTGATGGCATTTCATAGGAGCAGTCATAGTGGCTCAGGCTTCAAGGCAGTCTGGTTTGATATTCTATCCTTGCATGTTGATATCCCCTGTTTATTACATTGGAAATGACTGATGAATCATTACTTATGTACCTTAGGATGTCTGAAGTTGGACAGGATTCATAAGGCTCAAGTCCAACTCCCTGTTCCTCACAGGACTGCCTAAAATGAAACCATATCACTTAAGTGTTGTCCAGACACTCCTTGAACTCTTGTCAGGCTTGGTGCCTTGACCACTTCCCTGGGGAGCCTGTTCCAGTGCCCAACCATCCTCTCTGTGAAGACCCTATTCCTAATGTCCTATTTGAGCTTCCCCTGATGGAGCTTCATTTATCTTCTCTGCTCACCAGAGATCAGCACTTTCTGCTCTGCTACCTCCTTTGAGGAAGCTGTAGACTGTGATGAGGGTACCCCACAGCCTTCTCCATTCCTTTGTTTCTGTTGCATCTATCAGATAAGCCTCAGTTGTCATTTGTGGTATGGAAGTTCCTAAATTGTTCCTGATATGTGATCTGTGATAGACTGTCATTTTTGATGTACTTCCAGTTCTTTTATGCGTTTTTCAAATTGGAGAACAAGACTCTGAATACACTTAGTTGGGTAAATAAAGTTGTGTGTATTTTTGTATTTTCTAAAATTCTTGACCTCTGGGCCAGTCTTAATTATGGATGTTCTATGGGTAGTGATAGTGCAGAACCTATTACTCTGTATAATGTTAGGATATATAAATATATATGTGTGTATTAGCTCCCACATGTTCTTTCTTATAATCTGGGCCTTTTTTTGCTGTTTTCCTTTCCAAGACATTCAGGTTGGGATTCAACTGCAGATTAAAGAGTAGGCATCATAACCCCTGTTGCAGTTTATAAAAAGATAATGCAAGTACTTCTCCTTTTGTTCTGCAGTTTGTCTCTAAAACAGTAGCACAATCTAATGGATTGCTGCAAGAACAGTTCTAGCATGAGAACCTTGACCAGTGTTTTTTGATTGTGTAGCAAAAAACTTCATGAATACATAGTTGCCTAATTTATGTAAACATTATTCAGCAGTGGTGACTTAGGCTCACTGGTAGATTTCCTGACTCTGGAACATTTGAAGGGTTTCAGTTATCTCTGACCTGCTTTTCTGAGTATTTTCATTAGTGTTTTTTTCCTTTGAGGTTAGAGTTAGGTTCAGCTTTCAAGTGATACCTCTTCTAAAACCTGTTCTAGCCATACCGAGCTCATATTGCCTTTTCTTAAGCTTTCTTTTTTGACAATTGTTATGTATTTGCTCTGATTTCCCATGGGATTTCTGTCCTCCCATATCGTGTATATGTATTTTATTCTTTTAAACCTTTTTAAACATAATTTGTGTAGCTGCCCTTTTCAAATTAAGCAATACCTGAACTGATCTGTTGTTTTTGCAAAGGTATGCAAAGGTTCCTTTTCAAGTGGTTTCTCAATATTTTTGAGTTTCTGTTCATTGTTAATGTCAGCCAAGCTTCTTCAGTTTCCTGGTAATTTTTTGAATTTACAGCTTCTAAAAATTTGTTCTTAGCTTCATACACCGATATGAATCAAATCTGCATACTGGTGATTGAACTCTCCTGTCACTGGGTTTCTTCACTGCCTTTCTGGTCTCCTCCAGCCTGGTGCAGTAGCCATCTGAGTGGTGTAATACAGAACTATACATCTCAGATTGTTCATTCCTCCTACAGTAACTCTTGAAACACTTACGATAAGATCATAAATGATCTCATAAGATAAATATTGTTTCCCACCCATCACCATTCCGATCCTATTAACTGTTTCTTGAAATGCAGAAAAGACCTCATCACATGGATCTGTTGTTCTAATTACTCCTCAAGAATAAATCTATGCTGACTCAAAAAACTGTACTTTTTTTTCCCCTCCCTCAAATGGTTTTCCATGTTTTTTAGCATGTCCCATTTTCCTGCTGCTTTCACTTGCACCCTGTCTGAAGGATGCCCTGACGATTATGCCTAGTGATTCTTGAATCTTTTTATTGACTTTTTTTTTTTACTTGGTATTGACTATTGTCTATGCCAGTAGGTTCATTTCCCTTTCTTTGGCTTCACTTGGAAAGTATCACATTTGCTATTTCTTTATATTACTTCAGCAGGCTGTGTCTGGGAACTTCACTGCTCACCCCTGCCCCCACTACAATGAAGTCAAATAAGCAGCTGGTACCCTGTCCTGAGGAGGCATTCTACAGATTAGCCAAAACCAAGTAATAAGCACAGTTTTAAATCACTTACTCTCTAGGCTTGTTTAAAATACTTTGTGACTGTGTTTTGATCAGTAATTAGAATTAATAAGATCTATCTTGATTGTATCTTTACATTTTTGCATTCCTTGTTCAGTGATGCAATTTTTCAAATACTAATAGTTTGTGATAAAATTATTGCTTTGTTTTCTGATAAGTTAACCCATGAGAAATTACATGACTTAGTTGAAATGGGATAGGAAATCTTAAGGGCAAATCTGGATCTTACTTTTTATTATTGTTTAAGTTGGAAATTTCTAATGAAATCAGGAGTATTTTCACTCAATTATTACTTTTGAGATTAATTAGATAATGGCTTAATGGATAGAAAAGTATTGTAGAGCTTGTGCTTTGGTAGAGTATACAATAAGAGTCTGACTTCCTTGGAACAAGTCTATATGCCTACAGAGCAGTCATTTAAACTCAATTGTAGTCCTTAGAGTAAAATAATCTCCTTTAAAAGGAGATGTCCATTAGCAATATTTTAGATATCCTGTTTAAAAGAGACTAAATGATGCAAATTTCTCAGATTGTACCTCCAAGTCTCTCCCTTTACTACAGGGAGGCAGGGGGAAACACCACCTCCAAATGGATCAAATGTTTTTGAAAACTTTTGATTTAGGTCTTATTTTTCATCCATATGTTTAGTGGCCAAAGTAATGGAATGCAAATTAATGCTTATCATTTTTCAGAACTTTTAAACCAAATATACTGTTACTACTTGTTCTTGAATAATTACAGAACATCAGGTTATATCCTATAATCACCCTGCACACTTATTACATGTTCAGATGTTTCCTACAACAGCTGGAAATCTCTTCAGAACCAGAAGAAAGTGTTATTTTTGTGTCCCACTCAATGTTTCACGTGCAGTGTGATTTTTGGGTTGTGTTTAGAAGCTTGCACGGGATTAGGAGAGACCTGCAACCAATTCTGTGCAGGGTTTGAGTAGGATATAGCCTGACACCTTCAAATTAATCTGTTATTCTATCATTGTGTTTTCACATACTAGAAGTCAAATTCTAGTGAAGTTGATTCCAGCAAATTGTTTTGGGTGTGTCTGTATGTGAGAATGGCTCAAGCCACTGTGAAGTTGATTGCTGAATCCCATGTCTAGTTTGTATCTTTCTGCATTTTTTGCATAATGTATGTAATTGGGTTGAACCATATAGAAAAGTGACAAACTCTAAGTCTCATTTAGACTTTCTGTCTCTAGCCAAGCAAAATTGTCATGGTGTGGGGGAGGGAGCTGTTCAAAGGGAGGCCAAGGGTATGATGTATAATGGTAAGTGATCCATGTGTTCACAGGGGCCGTGGGGGAGTTCCTCCACCACCAGCAGGAGTACCAAGAGGGGCACCAGCACCCAGGGGAGTGCCTCCCAGTAGAGGACCAGTCAGTCGTAGCCGTGGACTTTTAGCCCCCAGAGCAAGAGGAGTACCTCCACCTGCAGGCTACAGGCCCCTGCCACCACCCCCAGCACAGGAGACATACGGGGAATATGTAAGTCAAGCTGTTGACATGTGCATATATAAAGTGCATAACTTTGGAGGGATGAACCTAACTGTTACATCAGAACTCTGTAGAGTATCTTTATTTATAGCCTAATTAAGTCTTGCACCCAGCATGTGTAGCAAATGGTGTCATCTCTTCTCACCTTTTCAGACATGAACTTTTTTTGTGTTAAAAAAACTTCAGGTTATATATATACACACTACCATAAAGGCATTTACAGTGCACTTGGCAAAATAGTTATGGACCTCTTAAATGTATTATATTAGGTTTCTGCTTTAGAAAAATCTAAAAAACTACTATGTTGTAGATTTTTAATTCTCAACTAAAACAGAATGTTATACTCTTCTTCCTAACCCTATCTTCATGGTCATATAGCTGTTCAATGATTAGACAAATAAAATATTTTTATGAAAGCTTCAGAACTGATCCTAAAATTTTAACAATGTACAGTGTATCTCAATAAGCATATGTATTTATCTTGATTTTAGTGTATTAAACATTAAAAGTCATATCATAATGCTTTTATGTTGTATATGACAAATTATGCAGTTATGAATGTTAGGGTAAACTTAAATTGAACTTAGAGCAGTGAGATAAAGATTATTAAATCAAAACTGTAGTCATAAAAATGGATTTAATCTTATAGAAAAACAATATCTTTGAGGACAATGCCTTTCATGTTTTATATATGTTAAAGCTTCTACTTTGCCCTCTTTACAGCCAAGTCTGTCTGGATTTTGTGGTTTAGATTAGCAAAAAAAGGAGTTTTGAGTTCCAGAAAATGGCTATTTAGACATTTTTTGCTTCTCTCAACCTGTTTCACCTACCTTCTCTTCTTTCAGTGACCCCCACCCAAACCCTCTAAATCAAATCTCAACCTCTGTCCTTTGGAAAGAAACCCAGTTTTCTATATAATACAGCTTTATGCAGAAATAAGATAAATGTGATTACCATAAACATTTATGCATATAACTGCACAATTCAGAAGTTAATGTAGTTGATGAATTTGGAGGAATAGTACTTGAACAATGTCTAAATTTCCCCTGGCTATAATTGACTAGTGGAGGTGGGTACTGCAAATAAGTAGTTCTTTCACAGTGCTTTCAAAGGATTCAGTCCTCATTTCCAGGCCTGTTTCCAGGACATGCACTGTAGAACACATGATGATGTGGTAGAAAATAAACCTCTTTGAGTAACTTCATATTTATATATAATCTGCTATATATAGTGTGTATATAGAAGTGGCATGAAAATAACAGCTGTTTGAGTCAGTATCCTGATGTATGCTTTACTTCTGAGAGAATAATTAGAAAATAGCACTGTAAAGAAAGTGTTGTGCTAAATAACTTCTATAAAGAATGTTCTCTAGAACTGGCTCACATATCTTCTAAACAAGATAGCTTAACTGGGATAGATACACTTAGAGCTGTAATTAATAAAGCAGTGCTAGCTGGTCCATTTTAAAAGTACTGTGCTTTGTCTTCTTTTTTTAAAATGGAGCTTCTTTAGAATAAAGTTTAGCTAGGACATGAACCATTGCTGTATTGCACGTTCAGTGTTAGATTTATTGCATGGTATTTTTTACCTATTTGCAGTATGTTACCAGAGTGCCTTAACTTGTATCATTTACAGGTTAAGGTAGCATGGTAGTGGTCAGTACTATTTCTGCCCTTTCCTTACTAATTCCTGTTTAGCTATATATAATGTTAAGCACTAGTTTATCAGCCTGAGCAGAATAAGGTCTTGCTGTTTGACAAGTGTCTGTAGAGTGAGGCTGTCAATAAGACTGGGGGTATCATGAGTTACTTTAACCTACATCAAAGCTTTGGAGAGTAGGATATCTAGAGAGGTTGCAGAGCAGCCTTTAGAAGTGTATTGGGTTTGTGTGGCCAGCTTTTGGTAGCAGGGTGGCTTCTGTGAGAAGGTTCTGGAAGCTTCATGTGCAGCAGAGCCAATGCCAGCTGGCTCCAAGGTGGAGCTGCTGGCCAAGGTCAAGCAACCCAGCAGTGGTGGTAGTGCCTCTGGGGTAATGTGTTTAAGGGGGAAAAAATCCCCACACAACCCAGCAGTGGTGGTAGTGCCTCTGAGGTAATGTGTTTAAGGGAGAAAAAATCCCCATGCTGCAGCAGTCTGTTCCTGAAGGGCTGCAGCCCATGGGAAGGTACCCATGCTGGAGCAGTTCATGAAGAACTGCAGCCCAAGGGAAGGGCCCATGATCAAGAAGTGTTGGACTGACTCCCATGGGAGGGAACCCACATTGAGCACATGTGTAAGGAGTCCTCTCCCTGAGGAGGAAGGTGTGGCAGAGACAATGTGTGCCTCCCATGATCAAGAAGTGTTGGACTGACTCCCATGGGAGGGAACCCACATTGAGCACATGTGTAAGGGAGTCCTGTCCCTGAGGAGGAAGGTGTGGCAGAGACAATGTGTGCCGAACTGACCACAGCTCCCACTTACTGTCCCCCTGCATGGGCTGTGGGAGAGGAGGTAGAGAATTTGGGAGTGAAGTTGAGCCTTGGGAAGAAGGCAGGGGTGGGGGGGAAGTGTTTTAAGATTTGGTTTCTATTTCTCACTATCCTGCTCTGATTTCATTGGTAATAAATAAACTTATTTCCCCCAGTCAGGACTGTTTAGCCCATGACAGTCACTGCTGAGTGATCTCTCCCTGCCCTTATCTCAAGCCATGAGCCTTTTGTTATTTTTTCTCTCACCTGTCCAGCTGAGGAGGGCAGTGTTAGAGTGGCATTGGTGTGGGCACCTGGCATCCAGCCAGGGTTAACCCACCACAAGAAGGCTTTCTATTGAGGCTTGGAAGTCTGGATTCATAAAGGTTTTTGGTCCCTTAGGCTTACAAGCCTCTGCTTTGTACTCATTAAAATAATGTGAAATTGTTCAAGTTCTGGAGGAAGCAAAGAGTATGTTGGATGGAAGCCTTCAACCACGAAGTATCTCAAAGGTTTTCAGTACATAAAGTCCCTGCCCATTTCCTCTGCAGTGCTGTTAGGTATACCTTGTGACAGACAGTGAATTGCAAGCAACCTTCCTTTTCCTTCACTCCCTTTGCTCGCTTTTTCCATAGTCCTTGAGACCAATGAATTTTTAACATCTATGAGTAACTTACGCAGTTCTGCCTACCACAGATCCTGATATCTCTGTTTCCTCGTCTTGATTAAGTAGCTCTAAAAGATAAGATCAAAATGTGAAGGGGAATACCTGTTTCATTCTGAAAAATTGGAAGGGTTAATTCTGGAGGCAGTGTCTCACATGGGAAAAATTATGCCACAGGCAAAAAGTCATAAATTTGAGTTTAGATGCATTTTAATGTGGGCTCAAGGTCAACAAAACTAGGTGACCACTGCTGTCCTGTGCTTTAAGTCCATAGGGAAGTTTTCCAGGCATTACCAACTACAGAAAGCTCTACTCAGAGTAGGCTGCCTTGCTTCTGTCAGCTTTCTTGGTAATGCTGGCTCTTTAATGCTTTGGCTTTTTCTGCGGAAGTCCCACAACATACCAGACTAGCTGTTGGAGAATGGCTAAGAGAGCGGGGACATAATCCTGGGAATGCACCTGGGGAAGGCTAAAAAGTGCAAGGACACAGTCCCCTGGGAACGCATGGACACAGTCCTGGGAATGCACCTGGGAATGCAGTGTACAAGCAAGGCTCTGGAGATAGTAACTTATATATGGATAGGGAGTAACTCAGCTGGGCAGATGGTAGGGGCAAGTTGCCCTTGAGGGTGAGACAAACAAGTTTGAGACAAACAGCTAGGAATGCAGCTAAGCCTGAGAAAGTAAGAGGTAATCCTCACAGCTGCAGCTGCAAGTAGGGAGAGTACCTGAATGCTATCTTTAGAGCTTAGCCAATTATAAATGATTGATAGTTATATGCTTGTCATACACTGTGTAAAAACAGAGCCTGTTGGACAATAAAGTCGGAGCTTGCTTTATCACCCACGCGGAGTCGGCCGCTTGCTTCCCTGCGAGGAACTTTCCCTTTCCCAACAACTAGCAGCAATATTTGCACGTTTTTCCAGTTCAATATAACTAGTTTTTCCACTCCACTGTTGCCAGTCTCACATGTGTCTCAGCCCCCATACTCATTCAGCTTGGGACCTCAACATATTGTCGGTACCATGATGAAGTTTTTGAAGCTACTAAATGACAGTTCCTTATCACTTTCTCTGAAGGCTGTTTCTTTAATAGCTGTAGCATCAGCTTAGATAGGAAAAGTTCAGGCCTCTGCAGCCAGCTACGTTTATAATAGCTCTTCTAAGCTCACTACTGACTGTGATAAACTTTCTTGGAAGACTAACATGTCTCCCATTTTTATTTCCTCAACTGCTCAGGTCAGGAGAAAGCCTAATATGATGTGTGAAGCATGGCCAGGATTAGTTTTATAATACTTGGATAATGGAAACCGTACTAGGTAGATACTACATTTATTGAAGCAGTTAGAAGGTTTCACAGACATTTTTCTCATAATTGTATGCAAGTTTTCCCTACTCATTCAACTATACTGTGTAGGAGATAAAAATATTTTCATGTATTTTTAAGGTGACAATTTATTTCATTAAGATAAGAAATAGAAATAGTACTTTACTAGCTGAAAGTGTTAAACTTTTCTTGCTTATTGAAAATTATGGAAATTAGATAGCGTGCTAGCAATTCACTGCTCTTTAATACTGTCAAATCTTAGCAAATGTTCAAACACAAGTTAGAACAGAACTGTTCAGTCTCAGTTTGTCTAGTAACAGTTGCTACTCTGCCTTTTCCTGTTGTTCTCTTCTTACCAACTTGAAGGCTTCAAGGCTTTTCCAAATTAGTAACACAGCAATGGAACTGAAGCTTTTTAAGAGTAGATTTTTATATGCTGCTGTTTCCATTTTGCAAAGGAAAACATTCCACAAATATCCTGTCAGTATTTCATTTCGGTATGTTGCATGAATATATCTGCAATGCCATGTCAAGTCTTCTTTTGGCTGCTAAAG